TAGATTCAGCCGCCTCTGAAAAAATCCTATGATTGTGTGAGGCTTTGAGGGGACATCACCTAGACACAAACCATAACATTCTGCCCTGCCCTTCCAAAGACTCATGCACATTCCTTTATGCAAAAGGCATTTAGTCTATCTCTAAGAGTTGCCAAAGTCCTAACAGTTTCAGCACTGCTGAAAAGTCCAAGTCCCAAGTCTCTTCCGAGATTTAAGGCAAACTCTTAGCTGTGAGACCCTGTGCAAATGAAAACAGAGTTAAACAATTCCAACATTCAATGACACAAGATAGACATTTCCATTCCAAAAGTTACAAGCAGGGGGATAAAAAGGATGGGACCAAAACAAGTCAAAAATCCAGCAGGGCAAATATTAAGTCCTGTAGTTCCATGTGCAGTATCCAAGGCAATCTGTGAACTCCAAGAAAGGCCTTGTGTGGCTCCACCCCTATGGCGTTTCTGGTGGTTGTGGCTCCCATGGCTTCTCTCTTGGGCCTACTCTGTTCCTTCATTGCCGTTTTCCTCAGACAAGACATCTTCCTGGATTCTCCAAACTGCTGGGTTCTCCACCGTACCTTTGGCTTCATACTCATGTGTTGCCTTCTCAGGAGCACACTGTCTGGCTTCCCAGGGACTCTTCTGAAATCTGGGTAGAAGCCTTCTTGACCCCACAACTCTTTCATTCTACAGGCACCTAAAACGAAGCATGATGCCAAGGTTTGTCACCAGCAGGCGCAGTAGCCAGGATTCTTGGTTGCTTGACTGCAGGGGTTGAGTGCATAAATCACTGAGCACTCTGAATCCAACTCCAAGGAACAAATTCTGTAGGCCAATGCCGTTCTAGAACATGATGCTCTGGGGCTTTCTTCTCAGAGCAAAGTCTTTTACTTTTGCAGGTTTGAGGCTGCAAAGGGTAGAGTCCTTCTGCTTCTTGTGATGCCCTCAGGCCATCTTTTCTATTCTCCTGTTCCTTCTCAGCAATCAAGATTTCCTCTGCTCTATCTTTGTAGTCCAGGCTTATTTGAGTTTCCTTTCTGGCTAAACTCACAACAGTTTAAATCATTCTGCTGGAATCTTTGGTCTTGATTCTCAATAGAGATCTGGCTAGAAGCCCCCAACAGTAGCCATGCTACTACCTAAACATTCAACTTCTACAAGATTAATTAGTCTTCTGACCTTAATCTAAGTCTCAGACAAAGTCTCTGGACATGAGGAAAATGCAGACAAACTTTCTGCCAATGCATAACACACATCATCTGGAGTCCAGTAGCCAGTGCAGTCCTTCTTCCCAGCAGAAACCTCTTGACACTGGTCTTTACCTGCCAGATTTCTATCAGCCTTCTGGTCGTCTGAGCTCTGACCAGAATCTCCCATACAGTAGAGTCTAAGGTATTTCAGCACTACTTTTTCAGCTGGCATCTCCAAACCATTCCAGACTCTTCCCACAAGCCATTCTCAAAGGCTCCTGATCCACACGGTCAGGTATAGTCACAGGGACAGCCCCATTTCTCTGGTGCCAAATTCTGTTTTAGTTACTTTTCTCACTGCTGAGACAAAATACCTGTTGCCCAAAGTCAAAAGAGGAAAAAGTTTACTTAGCTCAAAGTTTGTAGAGGTTTCAGTCCATAGTTCGCTGGCTTCAAGGCAAGGTGGCACATGGCAGAGGGGCAACAGTTCATGGCAGAGGAAGACAGCAAAGGCAGTGCAGGGGGGCTTAACAGCATCTTTCTGCCCCTTATAATTTATCCAAACTTCTGGGATTAGGGCAGTGCCAAACCAGTCAGTGGACTGGTTAGTTACCACACACCCTTAATCCCAGCATCACTCACTCTAGATTCAGCAGACTTCTGAAAAAGCCCTATGACCACAGGAGGCTTTGGGTGGCCATCTAGACACAAAGCATAACATTAGAAGTAGATGAAGTGATCAGAGAAGCAGATATTGATGAAGACACACAAGGCAGCTATGAAGAATTCATACAGATGATGACTGCAAAATGAAGACCTACTTTCAACTACTTTTGAAGAATTAAATTGACTCTTTTACTGATCTCTTATACAAAAAGAAAAAAATTCATTTAAGAGAAAAAAAAGAGGGTCAGGGATGTATCTCAGTGGCACAGTGCCTGCCTGGCAAGAGCAAGGTCCTGAGTTCAATTCCTGGTACCAAAAAAAAAAAAAAAAAAAAAAAAAGAAAGAAAGAAAGAAAAAAAAAAAAGAACACATGTGCCATAGGTTCAACCACCACTGCTCTGGTAGGTCTCCTTCCTGTGCATTGCTGTGCCTTTGCTGCTGCACAGGCCCTGGGAAAGCCTTGCTTTGGTGTTGCTATAAATCTGCTTGTGATTTATTTCTCAGGTAATGTGTCCTCCAAAAGTCCTATAAATCTACTTGAGGTTTTTATCCTGATTAGTGTAGACAGAGCAGTCACTTCTAAAGAAAGAGCAATAAATATTCAGAGCTCCAGGCTGTTTTCTTTTTTTTTTTCTTTTTTTGTCTTTTTCAGGCAGGGTTTCACTATGCAGTTCAGGCTGGCCTTGAACTCACTTTGTAGCCCAGGCTGGCCTCGAACTTGCAGTGTTCCTCCTGCCTAAGCCTCCCAGAGAGCTGGGATTACAGGCGTGCGCCACCACACCTGACAGAGTTCCAGACTGTTAACACTGAAGAGCTCCACAGATCAGCAGTGGATGAACACCAGTGGCAGAGACCAGTGCCCTCGAGAGTTGAGCTGTGGGGTCCAGCACAAGCTGGCCCAGGAAGGCGGTCGTCACCAGAAGCAGCAGAGACCAGCTCCCAGCAGAATCAAACTGTGGTGCCAAGCACAAGCTGGCATCAGATGGTAATGTCTGGTAGTGGCAGTGACCAGCAGTTGCCTGTGTCAGCTCTTGGCATTCAGCATTACCTGATGACATCAGGACTGCTAGCAGAGCTGCATTTTGCTGATTCACTGCTTCCTTATGAGCAGAGCAACAGACCTCTAGGCTGACTGGCAAGGGGAGTGCTGGGATTACCAGCATGCACAGTGCCTTAGTTACTTTTTTCTCATTTCTGAGACAAAATACCTGACACACAAAATTAAAGAAGAAAAGGTTTATTTAGCCCGCAGTTTGTAGAGATTTCATTCCATAATTGGCTGGCTCCAAGGCAGGGTGGCATCAAAGTGAGGCATCAAAGAACAAGTTCATGACAGGCAGAAGGCAGCAAATAAGAAAAGAAGCAAGCAGTGACAACCCTCTTTCTGGCCCTTATATTTTTTCCAGGCTACCTGACCTTAGGGTTAAGGTTAGAGTTCTGGTTATGGTTATCATAGGGGTCCGGTTAGGGTTAGGTAGCACTCTCACCAGAGAGGGCCTTCCCACTATTCACTCCAAGAACTATGCTAAACTGATCAGTAGACTAATGTAGTAATCACACACCTTAATTCCAGCATCACACCCTGGATCCAGCCACCTCTGAAAAGCCCCATCTATGACCATATGAAGCTCTAGACACAAACCATAATACACAGCCATGTCTGGTTCTACAGCATTTTAAAAATGATGAAACTGGGTGCCACCTTTGACAGATGTTAAGAAGAAGTAGAGCCGGGTGCAGTGGCGCATGCTTGTAATCCCAGCACTCAGGAGGCTGAGGCAGGAAGATCTTCGTGAGTTTGTGACCAGCCTGGGCTGCAAAGTGAGCTCAAGGCCAGCCTTAACTACATAGAGAGATCCTGTCTCAAAAAGACAGAGAAGGAAAAGGAGAAGTAGAAGGGGCAGTAGGAAGGAGGTGGCTTCAGCCTTAAAAGGCCGGCACTAAGGATTCTTTAGTGTTGGAGTTGTTCATTTTCCTGACCGTGGTGATAAATACAATAACATACAGGCAATGCAATTGTACAGATCTTAATACACAGACACATACAAATAGATACATGTACAAATGAGTGCAAAACTGGAAAATGTACATAGGATTAGTAAATTGTAGGACTGGCAATATCCTGGTTACGTAGTATAGTGCTGCAAAATGTTATCAATGGCAAAACTGGGGAAAATACTTTCTATTTTATTTCTTACAACCTTATGTGAATCTGTATCAAGCAGGGTTTTAATTTAAAAAATTATGTTGGAGTCAGGAACAGTGTTTGAAGATGTCTAAATGAAAGAAGATCAGACAGACATTGATGATTGTTGAAACTGGCTGATGGATAGAAGTGCGGGGTTGTTTGTTTGTGGGGAGGTTGTTTGTTTTTTTTTTGAGACAGGGTCTCACTGTGTAATCCAATGAACTCACGGTAATCCTCCTGCCTCAGCCCTTCTGAGTGCTGGGATTACAGAGGAAAATTTAAATAAGAATTAAGATTTAAAAAATAAAGAGCCTGAGGTAGCTTTGTCCCTGGGATAATCAACTGATTGGATCAATTTGGTGAAGAAATCCCCAGCTAAACTGGATCAGCATAGTTCTAAGTATGGCTGAAGTGATTTACTAGAAGCAGAAGACCCTCCTCAGGGAGGAGACCCACCCTAGGGAGGATCAGTGCCTGGATTATATAAAAGGAAAACGAAGAAGGAAGACTCACTTGTTTCTTTGGAAGAGCTCCAGTCTTCACCTTCACCCTGGATAGCGCCTCCTGGATTTCGGTGCAGACTTCGGCCTCCTGATACAGACTTACTGAGCCCCAGACCATCGACCAGATCCTTCGGATCTCCAACACACAGACAGTTTTCACTGTTCCACCTGACTCTGAGGGTAGCCATTGTAAGTCAACCTTTTTAAACCTTATATATTTGTACGTCTTGCATTATATCTGTTTCTCTAGTGTATACGGACTGATATAGTCACCCAACAAGGGTTGGAGCTGAAGTTGCCGCTGCAGGCGTTGGTTGTGCTGGGGAATAGACCCTATAAGACTGCTCAGCCATCAACCCGGTAAATGTAATTCCTTGGCCTTAAAAGTTCACCTCAGGGTGAACATAAAGATGAGAACAAAGCAGCTTGCCCAGCTTATGTTGTAGACTAACCGGAAATGGAGAGTTTGAGGATAACTTTGAGGAATACAAACTTGAGGGTGAGTGGGGCTATTTCAGATGAGAGAGGGGCCTCGGTCCTGCTGACAAGCTTCCCTAAGAGTGGCCCAGCCCGAGGTCTCTGTCAAGTCCCTGGTGTCATCTTATGAGACCCGAGTGGTGGGAAGAGCTCCGGGGCCGCCCCGAAAAAGGGGCTGCGTCTCCTCTCCCTGCTCTCCGCGGGCAGCTTCGCCTATCCGGGGGCCACCTGGGCCGCCACACCACCGGAGCCTCGCGGGGCCCGGGCAGCGGCCCTCACCCTGCCGGGGGGCGGACAAAACCCTCCTGCCCCTCATTCTCTACTGTCACAGGTAAGGGGGGGCTGGGGACTGAGGCTGCCGCCCGCCGCCGGGAAGCGGCACCTGGGGAGGGGGCACTGGGCTGTCCGGGCCGCCGGCTCCCCTCCGCTCACCCCGCCTCCCGCCTGCTTGTGTCTCCGCAGCAGCTCCAGCATGCTGAGTGGCATCGACAACAAGATCGAACAGGCCATGGTAAGAGGACGTCTTGGTCCCCGGTGTCAGACCCCAGCGTCACCCCGCTTGCTCTGTTCTTCGGGCACACTGACTCTGCGCCGTGGTGCCCCGCGTCTCCACCTCCGCCCTTGACTGCCCTTGACCCCTGGTCCCAGCCGTCTGTGAGCCCTGCCCCTGTGCCTCATCCTCGCCCCCGTCCCCGCCCCCTGCCTGCCCTGTGT